CATCAGCCAGTTTACAATTCAGTTTTTTGGAGGGGGACAATTTGACCATATTTAAACAATGGGGGCGTGTCGTAGTACTGCCCTGTTTTATACAAAAAAGAAAGTCTGACAGAGATGAAGGGCGCAGCATTGGTTATTATAGCGGCATAGCAAATCATGGTAGTACATGTAGACATATTATATATCTGAGCAATCTAGTTGTAATCATAATCCACAACCACGATCCACCATCACGATTAACGATGTGGCTGCTGCCGCGATCCTGGATGTGCAAAGATAAAGCACAAGGTCAAGTCAGTAACATGTACTGATGAGAGCAGGGAAAGAGAAGTTCCCTGTGTCATGTCCACCAACAAGCTCGGTCTAAAGCAGACCTCAGTCAGCTCCAACTATAAGCTTTATCAAAAAGGAAGGAAACTAGTCACTTTCTAACAATACTAACAATACTAATGACAAATTGTTAAAAAAAATTCAATTAGAATTCATTCCAATCCCAAATACTGAAAATGGATGCTTGATTGTGTGATAGTGAGACAGAATTCCTAAACATCCCAATTTAGCAAGAGAACATCATCAGAGGATCCGCTTCCATTTCACACTTGGATGGTTCAAGTGGTTCAAGGGAAACTCTGGTAGTTCGGGCAGCTCCTGTCAGTGAGCCTCGCCTCCAGCTGTAGAAAGTGATCAGTGATGACTGTGTGTAAATGAAGGAGGGGCTCACTGAACCAATTAAGGAAGTAATTGGTTGTGAAAAGGAAGAGAAAACCTGATGGAAGGCAGATCAGTGCAGGTCAATATTCAGCTGAGCTCTGTTCTCCACAGAGAGTCTATTGATGTTCTGAAGGTCAGCTGCAGTCCACCGAGTCACATGATCTCACACACACACGTTTGTACTTCTATCTTCGTGAGGACACTCATTGACCTAATGCATTCCCTTACCAACCTTAACCATCCAGACTAAATGCCTAACCCTAACCTGATGCATGTGTTCGTCATGGAATGTCTTGCTTTATATTTAACGCCCATGTTATCAGGTAGCAGCAGCCACACTACCCGTGTGAGACGGGTGTCTCAGGCGTGTCTCCATGTGAGCCACACTGCTCTTCTGGGGAGTCTGGCTTATTTTCTCCATGTACCAGGCATCACAGCAAAAGAGACTCTTTCACCTCAGTTTCAATGTCTATCTGTAGAATATGTCACACCACTAATATTTACAACACTTCCTGTAACTGTTTTAAATGTAAAGTTCTCTCACACTTTTTGTTGACTGAATTCATCGATCTGTTTTAACAAGTTGCACATCTTCAAACCGTAGAGTCCTGGCAGTCAGTCGAGTACATGGGCCGCTTTTAGTCAAAGAACTACAGTAGTCCTACCCGAAACCTCACGCAGCAGATTAGCAGCAGCTCTGCAGCAGACCCGCAGCAGCTCTGTTTTGACAACTTACTTCCACGAAATGCAGGATATCAGCAGTGTGGTCCTTACAAAGCTGTCACAACTGAATGTCTAACCTTACCCTATGATAGAAGTACAACGCACACACATACACAAACATATAACCAGAAGCAGATAACATTATTTAGTTTCTATATGGGCTGACCCTGCCAATCAGTTCAATTAAAAAAAATCAATGATAATACAAATTTAAATTAAATGTTCCTAATCCTGTTTTTTTTTCATTCATCAGAACAATGTAGACTTAAGATATTGGATTTGCTGTTTAAATGTTTCTGTTCATGGACTGTCTGATAGGAAATGGACAAATTACAATTGGACAGTATGTTTCCTCAGAGGGACGGGAGCCGCCACTAGACTGACACGATTTCACCATCATCACATCTTCTTTCATTAAATCCAGTGGACATAGGTCTTTAGTTTGTACTTGAAATATTTAATGAACAGTTCAAATTTCCAGAATCTTAGAACTATTGATCTGATGAACAAAAATAAAACTTTTATAAACTGAATTTGCATATTTTTAACTATTTAAGTCAGGTAACTGTAGAGTGAGAAAACGGTCTGGTTAACATCACAGGCAGTAGACACCGTTTTTCATTTTGTTATGCACAATGCCCTAAAACATTATTTGATCCCACTCCATGAGAATTATTCTGCTGCTTGATCAGCCTCTTCACCAGGTTTTGGAGGCTGACTGCAGAGATTCACTCTGATAACTGTCTTAAACGCACCACACATGGCAGACCAGACTGCTGCTGTTTGAAAAGGAGATAAGCCAGAGGTGGTGGTTACCGTGCTGGCATAACAGTTTGTCATATGACAAATAAGATTAGGTCATTTTTTTAAATTAAAGATGTTTTATGTTGGATGTGAAAGATTTTGGTGCTAGCTTTGAATACAACACTGCTGTGGGAGTTTAAAAAGACAGTTTAGTCACAGAAATGATGACAAAATTAAAAAAAAAATTGTTTTTCCAATTGCAGACTGTTTTCTGCAAAGAAAATGGTGCTATGGGAAAAATCTGAAACATAATTTGAAACAGTCAAGTAGCTTTGAAATGATCAGAATATAACCACTATCTTCAGTTGTCTCACACTTCCGAATCCCCTCGTCTGAGATGCTCCCCGATGTAGTGAAAGCTGAGTTTTGGTCATTCTTAGATCTCCTCTGAAAACTCACAGTAAAGAACTCCATCACGTGAAGACAGAGTCCATTGAGAGAATTCAATGTCAGGCTGCTCTCTCTCATTGGAGTCCCGTCTCTTCGCTGTCATCCATTTGTGGAAGGGAAACGTGTTTTTCTCTGCGTCGTGGGCAGAGCAGAGCATCTACACGAAGACATCTCCCTCAATGACAGTATTTATTGAGACTGTGCTGCATAACAGAGTTTTTGGACTGTGTCCTTCCTCATGATGGTACCTTGGAGTCTGTCGCTCTGCCTCCTCCTTTTAGCCCATTTCCCTTTTCGTTTCACCCCTAAACAGCCAGTCAGAGGCACTTTGAAGTGAAGGCAAAGGCAAATATGAAAGGAGCGAGTGTCCTCCATGACGAGGTGCCTTTTTATTGTAGCTATTCCCCAGTCTCGCCTTGCCTCGGGCCTGCATGGCACTCTACCTGCAGTTGCTCGCTCGGCAGTCTGGCACGTTCGGTGATTTATCCAGGAGACAGATTATTTTATAAAGCTTTGAAGAGGGTGCATGTGATGAGGACCAAACAGGAGACACTTCCCTTCCCAGCGAGCCACCATGACATAAATACCTATGTGGCTAAAATGAAATATAGGCTCACCATTCAAAACACACCTGGGCTGACTGTGAGGAAATCAGCAGTGTGTGAGGTGGGTAATGTGACTACATTTAAACTGATGGCAGGAGGACAAACATGTGTCAAAGGTCTGACTGTGCAGACATCACAGCTGGACGTCCACTGGCTCTTAATGTGCAGAAGGACCCTGCTTTTAAACAATCCTTATTTCATTTGCCCCATCCTGCCACCCATATTTAGACATTTCACAGTAACTACTAAAACTGGGACTGTCCACACTGAGGACAGTGATAAAGTAGAAGCAGCCGTGTCTCTTTTTACTCCCCAAAAACGAATGCACATGCTGCTTGACCGAGGTTTTTACATCTAAGATGGAAATGCAACTGCATTTGTTCCCAGAGACAAAATGAAAATGACGAGCGCCTTCCAGGAGCTTTAAAGGGATAGTTCACCAAGTGCAGTGTTTTGTGGACTCAAACATTTCACCCACCCCACCATCGGCATAGTGGTAAGCAGATGAGTAGATTTAAATTTTTCTGTGAACTGTCCCTTTAAGAAGCTTTCAGACATGCACTTAACTCCGGATAATCGGCCCAGCCCCCTGGTAATAACTCCAGATGATGTCATAATGAGCCCATGTGGGAAAACAGCAGGAGATTCTCCCGAGGATTCAGGTGAGTGTGTTGATGAGGTTTCGAACAAAAACAACTACCATCTCAGGATGAAAAGGGAGTGTCACACACGTTGAAGACACTGATGATGTCAAGAGAGCTTTTGGTAATAAGGGCTGATGCTGGTGTTGATGTGCTGTAATGAAAAACACAGGATCTCTGCAGCAGAATTAATGTTATATCCTGTATCGTCTGCTGCACCACCCCTCACCTTAACACAGGGAGTCTCCTGCTGTGTTATTCATATCTGAAAGACAAACAGAGGACAATCTCTGGAGTTCATATCAGCAAACTACTATAGATGAAGATGTGACCATATTTCATGATAGTTACACAAATGCTGGAAATTCCAAAGGGTAACTTGATAGTGAATTATAAGTATTATGTACCAGCTGTCAGTAAAGGGCTCAATGGTAAGAAACTGCTGTCGCTCTGAAAAGGAAAAACTAAAGGTTGTTATCATCGGTGATCACATTCCATAAGGTTTTGTCTGTTTACCAGTGTTTCTGAACTGGCTTCACTTTCTTCAAACACCTGCCAGACTCTGGTTCTGCAGTGAGTTTAAACAGCAGCTCTCATTTATGAAGCATAGGGAAAGTCAAGTTTTTGTAAGAGGATCCAAAAACTTCAGAAGTATCTCCAACATCAAATGAGTAAGTACAGACAGTACTGAGGAGCATTCAAGAGCTCCCTTCAAAGTAGAATGCAAATCACAAACAGGCTTTCAAAGACCACTGGAAACTCAAGTGGAAACACCAAGAATGTTTTGCAAATAAACATTTCAGGCTCTGCTGAAGCAGTTTAATTTGGTAATTATCAACTTTATCTAAGATAAGAGTGATTGTGGCAGAATGAGGTTCAGCTTTTAAGAGATCAGTGTGAACATTTGCTTATATTCAAATAAACCTTGTGGCAGGATTTGTTTGACTTGACAGAGAGAAAGTCTAACTCCAGGACATAAAGATGAAATCAAATTATTTATTTTTACACAACTGACTTGGCACATCTAGTCAGCTCCCACTGCTAATGAACCAAATAAATATGCTCTAACGTGTTAATGGAAGACACGTACACAGGAGTGAAATAAAAAAGCTTAAATCTTCAGGTACGTATTTAAGTGCATTTAATACAGAGATCAAACAACAGGAGATGATTTAAGCTCAGAGCAGCAAAACAACATAAAAGTGGGAAAAACATAAATTAAAACGAGAAAATAGAAAACTGGTATAAAATGTATTCATCCAGAATAAATATGTACACTGACGCAGAATCCCTTCTTGGAATAGACACAGACATACTGTAAAAACATATTTTTAAACGTGAACGGCCGAACAGGAAGTAAGAACTTTAAGCACTTTTATTCTTCTTGACCAAATCTCTTAATGTTAAAATAGAAACTTTAAAACAGCTGGAAGGCATCATAGCTTTTCATAAGGAATGTGTTAATTATAATCATATATCAGGTGAAATTAAATCAAACCCCTTTACAACAAAATACTAAATGTAAGCTAATATGAAGGTCTCTCACTAAGTCAGTTAATTAAAAGAGCTGTGGCCCAGTTAAGGTAAGAGGGATCAGCTGTAATGAGTCCATGAAGCACACACAGAGGTTTACAGCCTGCATGTGTTACCTGTCACCTGTGTGTTGTTGTAACTTGCACCGAAGCACTTCAGCATATTCAACTAAATATTGATTTACTTCAGCAAAGCTCAGTGGAATATAACAGGAATCCAGAGGACAGCATGAGGCGTCTGTATCAACCACATCGTTGTCAAAGTAGTTAGTGTTCTTCACTGGACAATGGCAACATATGTACAAAGAATATGGAAAGTGTTTGTTAAATAATATTAAAAATGAGTTCTATCAAGATGATAAGAAAATGCAGACAAAAAGAAAAACATCCTTCATTTGTACGTGTGAGGCACACGCCTGTATCCGCGAGCATGGTGTAGTACCGTTTCACTTAGCTCCTCGTGATACAGTCTTCATTCAAGATCAGACGAGGTGTCGGTGAATAATCATATGATAGGTGTCAGGTTAATGAACAACTGGCATATTGTTTCAACCATACTTGGCCAAAGCTCCAGCCAGGACGTCCGTTGAGCAGTTGCTGGAGGACTCTGATACTGCCACATATCAGATTGACGTCCACAGCTTCAGTGCACTTCTTTTTCCAAATTCGTCTGGATTTTGAAAGTCTGTCAAGGGCTCCAGTATGGACAAATACTGCTCTGCCATACTATACATGTAGTGTTAACTTTGGACACACGAGCCTGTCTTCTCACCTCCTGCTGGTGATGTCAGTCAAGACAAAAGAGGTGAAAAGATGGCTGGACCTCTACAGGTGCTCCCATGTGGCTGCGTCTCAGATAAGGTGGGTGGTTGAACGACTGAATGTGTGGTACTTCTTCTCAAACATGGAAGGCAGATGGACCATGGAGGGTGAATGGCGTGCCTGGACACAGAAGAGAGGACAGAAAAAGAAATAACCAAGATAAAATATTAATACCCAATAATGTTTTTACAAGGATCAATAAAGTTTATTGAAACTTGGGTTTCATTTAATGTTTTTGGCCATTCTTGTTATTGGTAATAATAAAGTACTGTCCATTTTAATTGCAGAGATCTATAGAAGCTGTGACAATTCAACATTTAAGTCCGATTTGGCAGAAACATGAGCAGTCAGATAATCAGTGTAAACAATCCTCTATAAGAAAACAAAGGTGAAGTGAAAAACTGTCCATTGTAAATCAGTTTACAGACCAACCTCCTACTTTCACTATTATAGAGACTGTACACTGTAGCTATGTTTCCACAACATCCACTTGGAACAAATGTGAACTAGCATGCATATTGTTTGAATTCATTTAAATGCCACCCACGTAGACCGGTGAATGTTTTATCAGTTCATTTGTACCGAATCTGCTGCCTCACTCGAGTTGAGAGCTCCAGCCTGGTTCCACACCTCTGTGTCACTGCTGACAAATCCCCCACTTCACCAGGATTTTAAACATAAAATGACAGTTGAGTGTCATTATCATGAGGCTGCAAATGGGCGACTTTTGAAATAGCTGTGCCGGTAATACAACTGTAAGGGCCTGAGTTAGCTCCTGTTTGCCTCAACATCTGTGCTGCTCTTAGTGCAGGACAAAGAGGACAAAAATAACCCTCAACAATGTAAACCGGACAAACTGGATTTCATTTTTCCACATATCTGAATGGTAATTTCAATTTCTATTTGAAAAAGAAGGAGCTAGGGTGCATAAAGCAATCCTGTACAGATACATTTGAATGTGCATTGCTTTTAGTTTCCAATACAGTGGTTTAAATAATTCGGTTAAACCTGACTGAGTGTTCATGTTTGCTGCCCCACCAGACTCATTGCTTTGTTGCCATGTGGCCAGATCCCAGCTAAAACTTTGGTAAGTACAATTTTACACACAGAGCAAAAGAAAAAAAAAGAGAGAGGAGGTTATAAAATTTCAATAAATTTCAAACAAATCTTGAAGGACCTCCAATCATCACCAGGAGAAGGTATTACTGGAACAAGAGAGCATGGCTGCTCACATGAACGTAGGTTAAGTAGTTTTCCACTCAGTCATTAAACTATTTAATACCAGCATCCCAACTCCCTTTAGCTGTACACTTTTAAAAGCCTGTGCAATGAAATTGCCATGAGAGCAGCGAGTGTGTTAATGAGTTATTAAGGTATAAAGAGGTTGGTTTGCTCCAGACCCATCACTCAGACGTCATGACAAGAACAGACCCAATCAGCGAGCAGTTGTCTAGGTCATTGTTTCTTTACATCCGTTTCACCTGTTTTCAAACTAAAATGGAGCCGGCAGCATTTCCAAACGTCCTTATTTTAGTTGCTCTAAAATTCTTGATTAATGTGGACGCAAGGTGTATCTGTGGAGTAGAAGCGTATTCAATTGGAAAACCTAGTAGTTTTGTTTGCTTTCACGACGTCCTGCTATGATGATGCGGCCGTGCTCACGAGCACAGAGTGCACTGCTCCTTGAGAGGCTTCTAGATGCCCAGCAAATCAGAACAAGTGGAGGGCTGAGCTGTTACCTGCCAGTCAGAGGTTCACCTGAGGGGCTGCACAACAGGCAGTTTGAGATAAGTAAAGACTTGTTTGAACTACGAGTCACGCGAAGCTACACAAGCTCACTACTCCCATAATAAAAATATGGAACTAGTAATGAACTTAGTAGTAGTGAAAATAATTTAAAAAATACTTGGTCTGATTATGTGATACCTCTGTCAAGTGCTGTGGTAGTAATGAACTAGAAATCAAAGCATGCAGCCCAGGTATCCAGGCGACAGGAACAAGGATTCGATAATTAGGATACGTTTTCTCTTCTATATTAATTTGCTGTGAATAACTTTCAAGTTCCATTGAAATTAATGAGAAAAAGTTCGAGATTAGCAACTTATACCCCACTAACAAACCTCAGTATATTTTGTCCATGAATGTGAATGCTTGAAGACATATTGATATGCAAGATGGAGTAAAACTGGCACCTGTGTTGTGCTCACTGGCAGGTTGCAATGAACAGGCTTGTGTTTGGTTTATTATGAAATGATTAATCTCCAAAGAGGTAACACTATTATTTAATTATATCAAACCCCATTTGTTGCAATGAACAGCTTCCAGGCAGCTAGAGCAGCGCCCATACAACTGGGAAGCGGTTAAATGGCTGAGGTGAATAAGGGACGTAACAGTGCTTAGAAACTGTCACATTGGGTTAAAATGGAGGACAGGTGACCTACCATCAGATAGAAAAGCTCAGATGAGAAGCCAGCCCAGCTCCATGAATACATTGACATTTTCATTCTAGTAAGCAGTTTTTTGTGAACAAGCCAAAACACACAAGGAGCACAGCATCCATAATTAAAGGCATGCCGTGACATTTGGATATTTACTCCTGATATTTTCTTCAATTGGCAACTTTACTCATTAAGGTTCTTTCTAATGGAACTAATTAGACCGAAACAAGTCTTTAAACACAAACGTAAACCTATTATCACCTGTTCATTTGAAGGATTAACAATCAAAGCAACACTTTTTGTTGATGGATCTGCCTGTACTCAGTGGCGTGAGGGAAATTAAATATTCAAAATGTGACAGCATGCCTTTAATGGAGCCTTTTCCCCAGGCTGAGGAAAAGCAGGCATCTGCCTTGACAAAACTCCTTAATGTTCCAGCTCACAGATTTCATATGGTCCACGATTAAGAGCAGCCACCAAGTGAATATTCCCAGCCACCACCAGTTAGTTACCTGGGTGATTCAGAGAAACCCAGTGATTCCAAATCAACCCTTAAAATCTCTGCCCTTAACACTAATGCCAATCTCAAGTGGGGAGAAACATTACACCCACACCTTTGGAATATTTCTAAATCCCCTTGAATGTAATCATTAAGGTTTAGAGTTCATTTGTTGAGCAGAACCTCATTAATCTGATCTATAATCAGAGTCTCAGCTTCTAAGGAGTTGATTCGGGACAAGAAATGCACCAGTGGTATATGCATGTTAAAAGCATTAAATAAAGGATGCAGCAGGTTGTAAGGAGAGATTGAAGTTGAAATAGTATTGGGAAACCTTTGGTTGAGACTAGACAACAATAACGTTTGCTCACATCAGGCTCCGGGATTGATTTTAGCAATGGTTTAGAGCAGAGTCTCCCTGCGATGACTGGTCAGCACAGCCTTGCGTGGGTCCAAGGGGACTTGGGGATCTCTGCATGATTCAGACAAGGTCCCCCCTTTGACATTAACAGACTGAGGAGCCAGGGACCTAAGCTGGAACCCTAGATGGTGCTTGGATACATGCTGGCTGGATTTTGGCTGGGTGATTTTGTAGCTGAGCTGAGTGGAGTTTCGGGTGGCTGGAATTGAAGTGGTGGAAGTGATGGACTGCTGTGAAGTGGGGAGGCTTGAAAAAACTTGTGCTGGTTGGGTCAATAATGGAGCATGAAGAATGGACGTGGGTTCTCGGGCACTAGGACAATATTTGGCAGAGGGACTTTTGCATAACTCAGGGGCGGTGCTGGGACCAGGGCCATGGGCAGGGTTTTGGGTTGGGCTACAGGGGGTACGGACACAGACAGGGACCCTGGCTCTGACAGGAGGGTGGTCTAGAGAGTTTGAGCGCTGCACCACAGCAGTGCTCTTGGCAGAATCACTCAAACTGAATGTAGAGGCAGAGCGAGACATCTAGAACAGAGGGGAGACACATATGGAGCACGTATTTACATATCATGAAAGAAAACAAGGCGAGACAAGTAGGCATGCTGAAATAAAATACAAGGAGAGAGGAAATCTTCAGAAGGTGAAACAATAAGACAGAAAAACGTGTCTTCATCTGGCAGAGTAAAGACGGAAGGAGTGGGAGAGAATGTAATCACAATGTAAGACAGAAAAATATCAGGCTTTAAATTTTCATGCAGAGAAAGGGAGGGTGGTAATTTGTAACTCACATACCTGGAAAAATTATTATTGTAGAACAAATTATAGCCTACACTGATTAATTGTTCAACACAGGTTTAACGTTCTAATAATCACATTTCAATTAGCGACTGACTGTTACACAACCCCCTCCCTCCCACCTTTCTCATCCCACCTTTGTCACAAGTACTCTCCACTAAAATTGCATTATGCAAGTTTTATCCTCACCTAAAACAAGATCAATTTTGCAAACAGCTTTCCCTAAAGTTTATTTCATTCATATGTACGTAAAATAATTTGTCACCTACTTTATCGAATTTAACAACAATTACCTGAAGCCTGTAACATACACATCAATAAGAGAGGTACATTGTTACATGTCATTCTGTCCTCTGAGAGAAAATTAGTCATGCACATGTCATGTCCTACCTATAAACATATTATGATAAATTATTATTTATAATATCAATACATACACTTATGGTTAAAGTGTAAAATATCAAGCCTCARTTCGATTTCTCATTTAAGTTTGATAATTTTACATTGGCCAATATATCATACCAGATATTTTGTATTCATTAATATTGGCATAAGCCCCAAAAATCCATATAGTTTGGACTCTAGTTATATTGTATGTGTTTTAAACACTAGTACACCAGATGCCCTATCACTGCCTAATCTTCTGCTTCAACCCCACCAATCTCACAAAAATACAGTATTGTGATCTTAACCATTTTAAACACTGGCAATATCAGAAAATAGGTGAGGAAACTGCTAGGATAACACAACCATACCAAAGAGCAGAGACAAATTCCCAGCGCATTTAAGAAAACAAGCCCATTTCCTGCTTTTTAATCAAGTTAGATGAAAGCAACTGACACCGATTGAAAGCCGTTTCATCATGGACTGAACGAGAGATCAATTGCCTGTTTCTCAGCAAAAGGAGAAAGAGATGGAGCGAAAAGTGGGGATTAGGAACAGATGGACAGAGAGACAGAAAGAGAGACAGCATCAAATGTTTCATGTTGCTGAAATAAAGGCATCAATGTAGGAACACTGTGTCAAACATCTTGATTATAGAAGATAGGATTTATGTAAGCAAAAACACATATTGGTCTTTCAACCAGAAGAGATAATGAAACCATAAAATGAAAATTCACTCATTATTTACTCACCACTATGCCGATGGAGGGGTGGAGTCTTTGAGTCCAAAAAAACACTTCTGGATTCTCAGGAGTGAACAGTGTTGCAACCAAATCCAATTCAGTTGAAGTAAACAGGACCCCTTCTTCAGACGTAACAAAGCAGAAAAAACCCACAACTTGTCTCCATCCTGCTCGTGTGGTGTCAACATTTACATCATGTTTTAAGCCTAACTGTCCTCTGATAGCCTCTTCTGAGGCTTGTTCACGCTGCACGACCATACACACTCTTCCCAAGGGCAAGAGCAGGGTGCATGTTCACATCGCTACGTCCACTAGCATTGCTACTTCTGGTAGTGGACATTTAGGCTTAAAACATGGTGTAAATTACGCCATTTTGAGTCGAATATGAATGTCGGGTCTTGCGGACACTTGGATGACACCACAAGTGCAGTATGGAGGCACATTATGTTTCTTTTCTGTTGTTTTATTACGTCTGAAGAAGAGGCAGCCTTGGCTGCAATACTGTTTACCCCTGAGATTCCTGAAGTGTTTCTCAAACACTTCACCCACCTCCATCGGTATTATAGTGATGAGTGGATAATGAGAGAATTTTCATTTTTCGGTGAACCATCCCTTTAATGAGGTCCTGATCAAGACCAAATGAAAAAAGAGACACTTGAAGTTAATATGGCTGTTCCATTGGTACAGCCCATGTTGTCTTCCCACTAACACATTGATGATGGTTTCTTTCAGCATATGAACAGACTTACAGCCAATGTGGAGCTGCTGCCGATGCGGGTCTCATAACTCAGCCTCTGGGTTTTCTCATCTGGAGTACTGTTGGCCATGAATGCCCTCTGGATCACACGCTTTGGGGTCTTGGTGAATGAAAACGCCCTTGTCACCTAGCACACACATACCCAGAGAATTTCAGTGACTAATGTGCTTCTGTTTTTTGTTTCACACTCATTTTATAACACATCACAAACAGTTACAACAGCAAACTTAAACATACATTAGAAAAGTTTGTATAAGTTTCAGGGGTGAATTTAAGTTAGAAAGTAATGTATATCTGTGCTAAACATTGCAGATGCAGTTTGATAGGTATGGTAATGGGAAGTGGTTCAGTAAAGGTTGCACTTGCATGCAGTGTAAACTTTGTGTAAATCAAGTTATTACAATGTTTATTTGAGGTTAAAAAAAAGCATGTAGATAATAAGCAGCTACATGAGCTGCACTGTGTCACGAGTCACAATCTGTGACATGAACAGTGACCGTCTATGTTGACTTGCTGTAGTTTAGGGGAAACTTTGAAATCTTTTGGTTAAATTAAGTTATAATAACTGTTGAAATTGGTTTAATCGGTAGTAACACTATGAAAAGCAGGAGAATAATCCTTGTCATATCAAAACCTGATGCAATGTAGTGGTTGAGTAAGGACAGAGAGAAAGAGATAAACGAGACAAGAGGAACAGTGATGTAGTAGCATCAATGTTGTTGAGGACATCCCGCCACCACCTCCACCTTTGCCTGAGGACTTAACTGATGATTGAGACAACATATGTCTCCAAACACTGGCAGTTAATGGGCGGAATTTATAGTCACCAGAGGGGAGTTACAAAGTCAGGAAATCATTGGATTACCCATGTGCTGGATCAGTATACTCAAATATTGCACAAATTTGTTTTTCCTTATGTTTGGCAAATAAGACATAAAGAAATAAATAAACAAATGAACTAAGAGACACAGGACTGACATTTGGGAAATGTACATTACATGGTTCAGTGTGTAGAATTTAGTGATATCTAGTGGTGAAGTTGCATGTTGCAGCTGAATACCCCTCACCCTCCCCTTCCAAACCTGACAGAGAACTTGTGGTAGACTTCAGCTGTCATAAAAACTCAAAAGGTGTTCATAAACAATAACAGCTGTTGACCACTTAATATGTGGCCATTTATTAAGTTACTTAATAAACTGTGAATGAGGAAAAATGATAGCTTTGTAAAACTAAGAAAAATGTAATTGGTGGAATGCTTGGTAAACCATAATGCACCTTCTCCCTCCACCTCTTTAACCTGACTGAACTCTATTGCTGCTCCCTCAAATATATTTATATAGTATCCTTAAGGAGCTGTAAAGTCAGATATCAAATGTCTTGTGCATAATTTCATTCAAATTTTTTTGTTATTGGGCATGAAAATGTTTGCATATCTAGAAATCTTATGACCTGAACTACAATAAATAAGTCTGGTACTTTGAACTAGGACTGTACCCAAATGTTAAGAGTAAACAACACTTAAACACCTAAACAATTTTTAATTTTTCTTTCGCTTGTGGTTTATGTTTTTATTTAAATTTTTATAGATGCTTGATAACAGATCACTCCATCTTGTGTCAATCGTACAGGACAGCAGTGGAGATGGGTGTTACGGCATCTGGTTTAAAAGTAGGTTAGCCAACCTTGCTAACGTTTACAGCACTGGAGTTGAAGCACAAGCAAATAAAGCGAAAGATAAGTCATGCTGCTTCGTGTTGCCGCCCTCCATTTCATCACCTGTCTCTGTGTCCGTCAGAGATAATATACCAGTTAAGAATATTAAACGTACATGTCAGTCTGGATTTCTGTGTAAACACAACTCAGCTATAAAAAAGTGACTAAATGAAATGCAGGGATCCCACTGACCATGACGATGTGCAGTGGAGAAGATGCTGATGCTTTCACTCTTCAATCTTTACCTTTTTAGATGTCTTCTTAATGGCCCTGGATGCTTTACTCAGGGTGCTGTCCATATCCTTAGTGCTGACCTGCAGTGAGTCTGGGTCTGTGCACTGAATCATGTCCTCCTGGTGACAAAATGGATACAGGCTCAAACTCTATACAATAAATCATGACCAGAAATTCATGTAATCGATGGAAACGCTCAACATACATGATACTTTTCTGTCAAAACTGCTGAAAAGGGGATGAGTAGTAGGATTCACACAATCTTTACTCCCCCCCTGCAGTTTCTTTTAACAAGCAGGGCTCCATCTCGTTGGTATTCACATTGCAGCTCTGACTTACTGAAAACAGCATTGGGAATGCAGCTGTGAGGCACACAGACCAGAGGCCTACATCGCCCCCTGCTGCCGGCACTGCTAACAGCTGAAAGCCTCTCCTCCACATCTTCCAGTAGATTCAATAATCATTAAGCTTAATCAACTCTTAAGTCACTTTTCCATAATTTCCCCAAACTATTAAAAGGTTTGCAATGTTACATGTTATTCCTACTCTCAAAAAGTCCCATTGAAAGACCAAAACCAATTAGGAAGAGATAAAACTTGGTATTACCCTTGGAGACTCTAATCCTCTGTGCTATAGAACTCTGCTTTTGCCTAAAGACGCTTTAACAAACACTTCAGCCAGCCACGATGTACCTCTGTAACCATGAGCATGGTCACTGCAGTTTATTTTCTCTTAACCCAAAAACACTCACCAGAGAACTGACTGTGTTAATACGCAACTGAAAATAGTCAAAAATAAATCCAGTCTTTCTTCCTCACTGATCAAGAAAAAAAGAAAACACAAGAAAATGCCTGACATTTATGAAAATCTGAGTCTGTTGTTTGTGTTGGTAACAGACAGACGCACATACAAACATCAGCTGCAGAGTGATTTGTAATAAAGTAATTGAGAGAATGAGTACATGTGTTCTGAAAAACCTTATTGTCGGTACTTGTTACCACGTTTTAGGACTTAAAGGTGGCAATGAGAGCAAGACTGAACCAACTATCAGTGTAATGTGAGGAAAGCTGAGCTATCAGAGCTTCCGTCTGTCTGCCGATCTGTCAAACTACCATACTTTGTTTTCTTTGTGTGTAAGTGTGTGGCTTCTCACCGCATCAGCCCTGCAGATGGTGTTGGCAACATGGCGGCAAAGTGTTCGCAGCCAGGCGCTTTTAACCGTGTCCTCTCCGGCCAGTTGGAAGCTGAACAACAAGTTCTCCTGTTCGGTCGGAGGGCGAACCACCAAGGCGAATGCATTCACACAGTCTGAGGGGAGGAAGTGAAAGAGCGACAAGGACAGACAGTGACAGAGTGAGACAGAAGATAATAAAGAGTGACAAAAAAGGGAAAGCAGCCAGCGGAGATTGAGATGAAGAGAATGAGAGAGAAAAGAATGAAGATGATGTTGGGAGCATGTTTGATGGAGAAAAAGGATGAGAAACAAATGGAAAGACAAAACAATTGTTATGTGCTTTATCCAAACTCCTTAAACATCAAACATTACTTACTGTTGTTATCTGTGTTCATTGTTCACATCAATGAATGAAAAGTCTTGGTGCTAGTTTGTCATTGGTAACATGGGTATTAAACAACATTTGGCTATTACAATGGAGTTCACGTTTGATCATGAAACACTCCTAAATTGAGGGTTCAACTGTAATAATTTTGCAGCGTGTGCACGTTGTCACTGTTACCTTCTGTGTCCTGCAGGTCCAGCACTCTGCGGATCTGCGACAGTGGCATCAGTGCAATGTGTTTGAGTGGTGGAGGGGGTCTTGTCTGTCCCAGTGGACTCTTAAATGTATTGATCACTTTGTGTCGCTTCCTTGCAATCTGCACACACAAACACACACATTGTGCACAAAATGAGACGACAACTTCTGAGGTAAATGAGGACAAACTTCTGAACAACATCCTGTTTGCAAACAGCATGCAAGTCTTTGCAATTGAGAATTGAGTGTTTGTGCATTTTCACAGTGGGGAGGTGAAACTATTGCTTACTTGGCAATAAATCAATGAGGCATTTATAGAGGTAAACGATGCAACTCATTAATGTCACATTAATTAGGAGCTGAGAGAGGAGGGAAGGAGGAAGAGCCAGAGATGGGAGAGAGGATAAAATAGGACACCACGTTATAGGTCATTGTTATTTTGGCAGGGTGAGTGTGACTTAATCAATGATGAGTGTTGATGGAAGGGGAAAATGAGGCCACCCACTCTAACACAACTTTCAGTCACTATACATACAGGAAGACATGGCAAGCGATCAGGAGTTCGTGTGTGCGGCTGTTTAACACCAACTCACAAACAGCTTAGGAGGTGTCACAGACACTCCTGAATCAGCGCCACCACCCACATTGACACTTTCATTACTGCCTGCCATGCTCATGTGCTGCCCCCCTTTGCTAATTAACACACAATGACTGTGTCAGCAATGATAGACTGCACACACATGAATTTCATCACTTTTTCAATCTTGCTATTTTGCCAAAGGCTCCTTTTCCTCCTCACCACTATGTGCACACAAACCTTAGCATGTGTTAAAGAATATGTTGAGAATCAAGACGAGTTTCCTCTACCAAACAATGTAAAGAGAAAGAAATATGCAGGAGAGGAGGGTATTTATAAAGGCTTTCCCCAACTCTGATGTTTAATGTAGTGATATTGGAACATCCTCTTAGGGCTTTTGCTCTGTCATTCTCTTTACTAACCTCTACACATTTGAGGGGTCATGGTGAAAATGATCTTCACGTTAAAAAGTTGAACATGGATGAAGAGTGAAGTAGGGTTATTGGTAGTTTACATGTCAGGGCAACCAATGGCACAGCAGGTAAATTAGGTGAGAACATGTTTCATGTAAGATAGTCAAAAGTTTCTATTCCAACCTCGAGGCAGTCATTGAAGAGGAAGAGGGTGACATTTTCTCCACGGTCACATGGCTGGTCTCCCAGGGCAATAGTTTCCACTCGGTTAACCAGACTGCGGTGGGATGACAGCAAGTTGGCCTGTAAAGAAGTCAAAGTGATATTTGAGGTTGCTATGTTGAAGTATATTTCTATCCCGTTATGCTCATATAATGTATATGTTTCCCTTTACGCTGTAAAGAAGAACTAGTGCTGAAACATCATCTGATTTGACTTAACTGTCAAAGTGATTCAATCTCTCTGAACATATTTTTGCTTGTTCACCAACTACAGTTACAGTTTCTTCACAAAGACTTCAGAGCTCTTCACTTTTTGCAATTTCTTATCGTCTTGTACATTTAATTATAAATGAAAATAATATTTATTTAAATAATTCATGCACAATGACAAAGTGAAAACATGTTTTACTAAGATGTAAAAATACATTTTCATTTAAAATGTTTTAACAGAGACTTATTTCAGTACTTTGGGAGGCTGGGGTTCTGGATGTAAAGCAGGTTGTTAATTTAAAGGTAATTTTTCTTTGGGAAAGACACTGAACCCAAAGTTGTGTGTTAATGGTTGAGAAGTGCTGCAAGAAAGTTTGGGTGAATGGGACTCGTGGTGTAAAGTGATTTGAATGGTTGTCAGGACACAAAATGCTATATAAATGCAGCCCATTGACCAATTTACTTTGTAAAAGCTCCTGTGGCAGCTCTAACAGCATCCAGTCTTCATGGGTAAGTCTCTACAGGCTTAACACATCTCAGTTGATCCATATTCTCCAGAGAGATCCTCTGTGGTTAGGTGAGTCTGTGAACATCATATTCATCTCTGTGGTGACAGAGACTTGTCTTGTCTGTATTCACAAGGTCATAGCTGTGCTGAAAGGTGAACTGTTGCCCCAGTCTCAGGTAGCGAGCACCAATCACCATACATGTCTGTCTGGCAGGCTGTCCCTTGTCTGCAGAAGATGTCTTTAGTTCTGTTAGAGTGACTGTTGGGTTTTTGGTCAAGTCCCTGATTTCTGCGTGTTCACAATATTATATAATAATATTATTACAGATGTCGACAGAGTCTCTTTGACTTCATGGCTCCTTCATTGCCCAGACATGCATTGTGGATTGTGGGACCTTACATACACAGTTGCATGTCTTTTTAAAGTAATTAGTTGCCACAGATCGACTCCAGTCAAGTTCTAGAAAGACGTAGGAAATGCCCTTAATAATGTAGTAAATAACAGATTGTAGTAAACAACAGAAATCCTCAAACTTACAGGACAGCCATCAACTTCATAAACAACATCGAAGATCTGTTTCTGGCCCTCAGTCTTTCTCTTGTCCTCATTGATGTGACTGGTTGGGGAGAAACGACAGAGGAAGTTAGAAAATGGAAGAAAAGTGGGTGTTCATCCCACTGGTTCTAAAACAAAACACATCTCATGTGAACTCCGAAAAGTTGGACAAATGATTGATTGTCTAAACTTTTGAATTTTGACAATCCATCAGCTGTCGATGTCAAACTCACAGAATAAACTAGGAGTTTAACCCCAGAATACATTTTGTATGTACTCCTAATGTTATGCAATTGTAATGGTTTGTATTAAGGAATGACATTTACTGATGATATTAAGTAGCAGTAGGCTTGGACGGTACGAGGGTTTATATATACTGTGTTTGTTTTAAAAACTAGCCTGCTTGTTTTATCATCAAACAGTTGGTATAAGTGAATCCCTGATTGATTAACACTAACCCACATGATGCAGCCCACTATAATGCACTGGACTGTGAACTGCAACAGTAACACTCCACAGGCATGCATTAGATTTGTTGCAGTAGTCCTAATGTTCAGTCCAACTATGGAGATAGCTATGGGACTTGACAAGCATTTAGTCTGTATGAATGTGACTGTACCAATATTTCTTAAAATGTTCAGAACAGTCTCAACTGCACTCAATGAGCACTTTATTAAGATCAATATATTAATACTGGGTAGATCCTCCATTTGCTCTCAAAACAGCCTCAGTTCTTCATGTCATTGATTCCACAAGATGTTGGAAACTCTCTTCTGTGATCTGCTTCCTGAAATTACTGAATCACATCATCTCTGCACATTCATGCTGCCAATCTCTTGTTCTACCATATCTAAAACGGTTCTTCTGGAATCACATCTGGTGAATATGGAGTTCATGAAACTAACTGTCATGTTCATGAAAACATCACACAACCAGCAGAGGCAGACTGAGCTGTTGAGTCCGTGGATTCATGCTGCTGATATTAGATTGTGACTCCCCCAGCTGCAGCCTCAGCAGAAATCCAGATTTATCAGAGTGGGTAAGTCTTTAACTGTCCAGTGTTGGTGAGATTGTGTCATTGCAGCTTCACTTTTCTATTTTAAGTTGGAGTTGCAGTAGAACCATCCACCTCAAGGTTGGACGTGTTGTTCATTCTTAATCAATCAAATTCTGAGAAGCTTCTCTGCTCATCACAGTTGTAAAGAGTGATTGTCAGCTCCAACCAGTCTGACCTGATCTCCGCTGACCTCTCTCAGCAACACAGAACTGCTACTCACTGGATGTGTGGTGTTGGATTCTTTTTTTTTTTTCTTCCAAAAAAACTTTAGACTATGCTGTGTGTGGAAAATCCAAGAGATCAGCTGTTTCAGAAATACTCACAACAACCACTGACAAAGATGTGAGATAACTAAGGCTCCTGATCTGTATCTGCATGTTGTTAAACATGACACTGCTGCCACACTGATTGGATGGTTGGATAAACAAGCAGATGCACAAGTGTGGTCCTAATAAAGTGCTCCGTGAGTCTATATCAAGCCTTAAAAATCTTGGTTGCTGCATCTTGGCTCAACAACGTTAAATTATTCCAAGTTCAACCTACATAGTATTCACGGCTTCGGATGATAGGAGAAAGTTCACATGAGGTGCTGGAAACGATCAAACAATGATGGCTGTGTGATCATCACAAAAGAAAGAGTGAGGTCACACCAACTCACGTCATGACTTCTTTCAGAGAATCAATTGCTTTCTCCAGTGTTATCTTGTCAGGGTTGTCATCTGATGTATGTTTCTTTATGTCTGCAACGGTGGAAGAAAGGAAAAGTTTGGAAGGAAGAAGGCAGACAGGAAGAGATGAAAATCATGTTGAGAAAGGTGAGAAGAAAAGAATGGAGAAGAAGGGAAATTACAGACGGGTATCAGGAGCAGATAGGAAGCAGGTATGGAAGGAGATAAGGAGTAAAAAAGACAAGGTCAGATGTAATTAGCATAGAAAGTCTCTTTTTTCTTAACTGATTTAACAAAGGTGTGTATATGTGAGTGTGTGTGTGTGTTACCGTTAAGAAGAAGAGCCACACTAGGCAGTCTCTGTACAGGTCTAATCAGCAACTCCACCAGTGTCTGCCTGCCACACTCTGGTTTCGATTGGTTGATCTGTAAAATGAAAGCATGAGTGTGACATGTGTGTTTGTTTTAACCTAAGTGACACATCGACATGGTTAAGAAAAGTTTGCACTATATGCCCACTGCATTAATCACTCAATGGCCCTGTTCAGACCTGTTTCAACATCTGTCTCTGGTGGTCCGATCACAACTGGACAGATAAGTACACAGTATACATCAGTTTACACCTGGTGTAAATTGCTCCACGTGTCTCCAGTGAACCAGTGTATTCACACCTGAACTTAAAGCTGTCCTCTCATGACTATTACTACTTTCTGTACTGTAATGCTGTGCTCACACCAACCATGTCTGGCTTCCTGAAAATTTGTGTTTACTGGCACGAGCAACATGAGTTAACGTAACCATTTACCTGTTGTCCGGAAAAGAAGAGAGGAGTACTACTGTCTTAACTGTCTTAACTACAACTGCTGCACTGTACCTATTGTAAACCTGAATTTCCCAGTGTTCTCTGGATGACTGTCATTTCCAGATGAGGCTGACCAGCAGCAGGTTTGATCACAGGCTAGCTTGGGTCGGTGCCAGGACCTGTCTCTGTGAGTTTCAGTTTCCAAGCTGATTGGCTTTTGCGGCACGTATATTATTCGCTTGATTTCAAATATTTCGAGAGGGTTAAGTGAATGTGTCAAGTTTTGCATCTATTCGTGGCTTTGCATCAAAAAATGTTGCTTTGCATTTGGTGTGAACCAAAAAAATTAACAACCCATAAAAAGTAAAAAAAGAATCCTTTGCAATTAAGTTATAATTTATATTTGTAGTTTGTTGAGCTCTTAGAAGGACTGTACAGATTCTCCATGTCTGAATTTAACAGTTGAGTCAATCGCTCGTCTCTGGAAACTTTAAAAGTTACTTACTGTACTAGCCAGACATGGGAAGGAATTGTTGTATATAGGGGATACATGTAATGATCTTTCCTTCTAGCCCACTGTTCAGCTATTATTGCATTACAGTCTTATCACTCCCATGTATACTAATTAAATTAATATTTTCACACTATGTCTTCTACCCTGTCAGTTAATTTAAACTACTGCTCACACATTGGCTTCTTGAGGGATCTAAAATTTAAAAATTCACTGATGTATAAAACCAAATATCTGCTATTGTGCCACATCTACTGCAAAAAATGTCATTTACTCATTTTAAGGGATCATCAGCCAAAGAGATTGTTTACCACTGGTCCCGACTATCTCACAGTTTTTTCCAGTTTTCTTGGTCACCCCTTATGCAAAATGTATCAGTGTGTGAAATCCACCAGTCAAGCACACGCACAGTAGTACATGCAGTACAAATGCAAGGGTCATACCTTCAGAAAAGCATGAAAGCGTGGCTTTTGTTTCTCACACTGAACAACAGTCTCCTTGCTCATTTCAAAAAAGTTGACAAACGGTGGGTAGGCCTTCACCAACTCTTTAGACTGGAAAGAGAAGATGAGGATAGGTCAGAAACATCACACGCACACACAAGAATGAGGTTTCACACAGGGGAGAAAATAATATTTTGTTGCATTGAATGTTTCATGAAAAATGTGGGTGATTTATTCAAAGTAATTTGACTAAATTTTATTTCAGAAAAGATGCACAATTTCTTAAATAGATACTAAATAAGATTGTCCTCTAAACAGATATGAGTGTAAGAGCAGCCATATTAACATGCAAATAAGCAAGACAAAATGAAACACCTGCATAGTAACAGGTGAACTCACATATTTGAGAATGATGTCTCCTACACTCCTTTCCTCTCGCCAGTCTGTCAGAAGTTCCTCCAGGTCATGCTGATGAACAAAGCATCATACAGAGAAAATAACAGGTCAACACCACCAGCTCAAAAGTTACACCACCACCACAATAAGTTGTTCATTTGGACACAATACCTTTATTCTGGTGTGAACATCATAGATGTCTGGGATGCTGCCGAATATTGTCTTTATTTCTTCTTGGGCCAGGATGGGTCCGCCAACCTGACTCTCTTTTTCCAATGGATGATGGAAAAGCTTCACATGAAAACAGAAGTGTTAAGACACAGAACACACAAACAGAACCAACATCATGCATTAAAATCAACGAGTACTTCTCTCATTTGTGTCCAAAGCCTCGGCATCAGTGTAACAATAGGCTCCACTACAACAGCAATATCGCGTATATAACTCATCTTCACACTGTATTTTCAAATGGGTTGTGTCTGAAATCACTCACTAACCCTTACTTGACTATAAAGGGACTTCTATGTAGAGGAATATATATTGTGAGCTTATCTTCAATGAAAATAAATCTTAATCTACATCTATAAAAAACACTTTCAGACTACTCAACGCATATTCTCTGTGCCAGTAATTACGTCATTATCACAGGATTATGAAGTGAAAAACAAAATCTACCAGTGGAAAAATCCCACAGTAAATTTAAAGTGTTTATTTTACACTAAGCATTAATACTTGTTAAAAAGGACTGACCATGTTTCAATGTAAAAATAAAGTTGTTGCCACAGTTTGTTCTCTGATGCTCTGCTCGTATTTATATTTGTATGACAAGTCAGGCTGTTCCTGCGGCCCTCTCTCCACTCGTAACATCGTTGAGTGCAATGCGTGAAGGTATATAATGTCATGTTGTTGCAAGGTGTTGTTGCCTATGAAACCTTTGCAGCCATTTTGATATGAATCAGTAAGGTAAACGAAGGATATGAACACATCAAAGCAGGCTCAGCACAAAAACATCATTATGTGATTAGTATCTGTGTTTACCCACCATCTCGTGCTTCAGTGGCTACAATGAAGAACGTCTATTAGTTCACACTGACAAACCAAGAGCAGTAAACATGAGGTTTCAGTTGTGGTCACTGCCAACTATGGAGAAATCTAATTCTATAGTCTGACAGCAAGTCCTCCATTGCTTTACTGCACTTACACAGTAAATGTGCTTCTTCAAGAAACAGCTAATAATGAATTGAAACTGCAACTGGACCTAAATACTGATGACTGCAGAAACAGGACAAAAATAAGGCGTTTTACCATAATATTTGAGTTTGTGGACACAATAATAAAGCTCTTGAATTCCTACTAAAGCTATGTAGCTGCCATGATTACATTGTGCTAACTGCAAACTAGTCTCGCATTTCAAGGGATAGTTCACCCAAAAATGACTTGTGCGGTAAGTGCGCGCAAACATGAACGCAGCTGCGGAATAGGAGGTTAACAGTAGACATTTAGGCTAAAAACGTGGTGTAAATGACGCCAGTTCAAGTTGAATTTGCATGTCAGGGCTTAAACACCAAAGGAGTAGCATGGAGGCATTTTATGTTTTCTTTCTGGGTTTGTTTTACATTTGAAGAAGCGGTCACCATTTACTTCAATTGTATTGGATTTGGCTGAATTGCTGTTTACCCCTGAAACTCCAAAATTGTTTCGTGGACTCAAACACTTCAGCTACCGCTCCATCAGCATGGTGTTGAATAGATAATGAGTGAATTTAAATTTTTTGTGAACTATCCCTTTAATCAGACTTTCCACGGGTCAACTTTGGATCAGGTAAAATCTGCAATAGCGAGGTAAGTTATATTATATATTATGATATTTTGCCCATTTCCAACTTTATTTATTTAACTACTAATGAAAATAAACACAGCTATATAATCAATCATATAAGCATAATTTAAGGATTTTTTTGATAACCAACATTTATGACAGAACACAAAAAAGCCATAGCATATTTTAACTGTAACCAACATATTTGCAATCAACCTGTGTACTTCTGAAAATGAAGTCTAATGTTCAGTCAACCATATGCTGCCTATCTGAACATATACTTTATAGACTGTTGTTAGCGAAAAGGGAGTATGGATTGTCTATGAGAAGCAGTAATCAACGGCACTACAACTCAAGCCTAGCTTGCAGTGATTACTCCATTATTAGCCAGCCTACAATCTTCGCTAAGATCTTCTGCCTTTCAGCAGAATCAGGGTGATTTTTGTCGAAAGTGGTGAATTTATTTTTTTGAATTTAAGGCAGAGAGCACCAAGGAGGTAACTGTAATCACAGATTTAGTTCACCAGTGAGGAAAAGAAAACCAGAAAACCAGAAGACAGAAGACAATATACAGCAATAGAAAAAAAATAAAGGAAATATGTTTAAGATTGCAGATTGATAAATGAATGACGAAGAAGCAAATAAAAACTTGGGGAAGCTCCAAGACAGATAGTAAAAGAAAAAAGATTTTGAAGGGGAGGGAGACAGGGAGAGAAATGGTCAGGCAGGTCATTTTCTCCCTCACTGGTCAGCTGTCTGACTCTCTGCTGGGACCAACTGATAAGACAGGCCAAGTAAGAGTAAGCATGCACACATACACATACACACACCTTCACAGTTATAGCTAAGCTTGAAACTGTTGTCAGGGGTTAAAATGGTGCACATCGTGCAAACACACATACAGCTACCTGGAGGATGGTGCTTAAAATGTCTACATAGTTGCTCTCAGTCTGGTAGAGCTCCTTGGAGACCTGCCACCTGGCTGACTGCTTGGACACAACCGGAGTTGAACTCCTGGATGGCTTCGTACTCTCTGGAATATCAAGAAAGGCAGAGAGGAAGAGTTTTAAATACAACACTGAAGCACAGACACTAAGTTGTTGGAATTCAAGCAATTCTAAGGAAGTGAGGGCTGAGTAGAAGCAGTAAATGATGATGAAATTATCTTGTGAAGATGTATCAAGAAGATTTCACTCCAAAAATGTAACCAGTCTAAAGAATTTGTTTTACGTTAACCACAAGGTGACAAAGATTTGCATAATGATGGAAATATGACATGTAACAAATAATGGATAAAATCTGCAAACATTAAAAATGACAAAAACATAAGATTTCCACTCCTTACAAATAGCCATTGGTGCAGCCAATATTTTAATGGAGGTACAACTGATAGATATTTTTCATTTATGGTATCTCTAATATAGGGGCAGCAGAACATTTGTTTTGCTAAACAAAAAAGTTTAAAAGATCAACGACAAAATGAGCTACTTTGACTTTTTCTATGCTAATTGCTAATTACAGTTTGTATAGTTCTGGGTGCTTTATTTTTTTCAGATCACTGAAGACGCTTGGGTCTTACTAAGTATAATCTGATGCTTCACAAAGAAAACTAGACTGATTAGTAATTAATAGTCCCAATGACCAAACTGATGTGTGACTATTGATATTGGCCTCAAACTGACCTGATATCTGCTAACAACAGCACAGTCCTGACACAGAACCTGACCTGAAGATGTTCTATGCTGTTCCTCGGGTGGTTGCAGGGTACTTGCACTCAGGTAGGATCTCCACTGTCCCCTGTCTGTCCTAACCTTCTTGATCCTGTTGCTCCTTCTCCTCATTCTATCCGTGTTCACAGCACTGCCTTCTTTCCTTTCTGAACCGTTTCCTACTCTGCCTTCTACAATGAAGAGGTTTTAGTCTTGTTACTGTTATTTTATGAAGTCAGAATCAACCATATCTTTGAAGGTACTGCATTTTTTGCATTAGTATATCAGAGAAATAATAGAACCATAGAGAAAGTGGTTTCCAGAGTGCATAACACAGGTCATTTCCACTCCATCTTCTTACCTGCCAAGGCCTTGCATGTCTCTGGGGTGTTAGAGATGTCCAGCAGAGAGCCCATGGACAGGGAGTGCTCTGCTGATGGCCTCTTGCGTGGTGGAGGGAAGGGGGAGATCTCTGTCTCCTTAGTGAACTGCGCCAGCGTGTCCTTGATGCGCCGACGCTTACGGTTACTGCTTGGTGTTGTGAGGGACAGTAGAGACACTGCCTTCTTCATGGCTGGACTGTCGTTCTGAGGTACAAAGGGACAAAAGGTGCAATATATGAGAACAAGATAAATATAAGATTAAAGTGACAAGAGGGTCTCGAAAATTATGCTATGGGAAAATGTGAGGGGAAACAATTAATCAATTTTAATGCACTGACTAAACTGAGTCTTGAGATCAACTGTGTTGCGCCAGTTAGGAAAAACCCTAAAGGTGTCGTAATGCTTTGAAACTACAATGACTGATTACGTTTATTACACATGCTAGGATGGGGCTAATAAAATGTGCAAGACTGTACACTATGGGCCTGATCTACTAAAGGTGTTTGCATGTAAAAAAAACATGCAAGCTGATCTACTAACGGTGCGCGCTGAGGATTGCGTGCAGAGTAACACGTGCTGGCCTTTTCAGAGATCAGTAGATGTCTGAAAGCAGCTTCAGTGTGAGCTTGTCAGATTGTGATGAATGTAAACAGCTAAATATATGTGAGGACAGCTCGTGCTCCTACATTTATTGAAAATGCACTTCTGCAAGGTTTTAAATGTTATCTTTTCTTCCTTTTGTTTTATATGAACACTAATTTCCCCCGTCATTTCACACAGGCCAGTGTATTCTGTGTGATTTTATTTTTATAATGTATTCTAATTGTTTCAGAAATCAGTCAATCAAATTTGTGTTTACTGTCATTCAGACTCGAATAATGTTAATACACAAGTCAACAAAATATAAAACATAGGTCTGGTCGTTCCTTAACTTTTCAATGACAAATTTTTACATTTTATATCCTTAATACACAAACATTAATATTACCCATACTCTCACCTTCTCGTAGAGGTACATGGACTCTCCAGCCCGAGCATCCATCTGAATACTTCCCCAGAACCACTGCCACAGAACAGAGAAACATGTTTTCAATGGATTAGGACAGAAGTAAGAGTAAAAAAAGATTTCTGATACAGTGCACTTTCCTTTGAAAAACAAAAAAAAAAAAAACAATGAGACTGACAGAGTGAAGAAAAGACCATATTGACTCTGGGTTATAACTACAGCTAAACCACCACTCCACCTTGGTTCAAATTATTCATTCGCTGGAAGGGAAATCAATTATTGATAGCCATCTCTGACAGCACAGACAGAAAGAGGGAGACTATATCGATTGAGGTTTAACCTAAAAGAAATCCTGATCGGATGATCATTTCGTATTCTGTTTAGGAGAAAAAAATGGAGGGGGTTCATTATTGTGTGTGTGTGTGTGTGTGTATCCTCCTTTAGCAAAAACCAGCCAGAGTTTTCCAATTATTTTCTTAAGTCAAGACACTGCTGCCCAGTATCAGACATGTTTGTCTCCAGAAGCAGTGCTGAAATGAACTTAACTTCTTCTGATTCAAGGATGTTTAGTGGCTTTTAGATCTATTAAAAAAACCCACACATTTTACTCTCCTTTCTTTGTGAACTTTCATTCAAAATGATACTACTTTTCATATTTTATAAATATTTGAACATCTTCAGTTTCAGTGATGACGCCACAAACTTAAAGACCTACCTCCTCTTTGACCACAAAGAGTTTCTTGGAGGGAGTAAATGGCAGATCCTTTACTGATTTCTCCTCCACCACCATGTGTGTACAGCTGTCATCTCCAACCTCAAGATATTTACCACCTTAGACAAAGAAGAAGACAAAGAGAAGCGTTTCAAAGAAATATATACATACACATGCAGTGCTGAGCTCAAGTATTTAGATAGGTCTTTTATTTTCTAATATTTCAAGTATATCACATTACAGAGCCAAAATTGTAATTTGAGGAGGTTTAAAAAATATATATTAAGAATTGTGAGGGAGAGCAGATTGATGATGTTGTTATACACAGAGTTGGAGATATAGATGGTATAATGTTAAACCCTTTTCCAAAAAGGAAAGCCGCAAAATGCAAGTCTGATCACTGAACAGCTTCAGTATCTCCGATACATTGCTTCCTACAGCAACACGACTGCAGAGATACTAAGAGAGATTCTTGTGTGCTGCAGCACTGACCATGTTTAAGAGTGCGCTCCTCCATGTTGGCCTTCTCCTCTTCAGAGAAACCCAAAAAACTCAGGGTGCAGTCCTGGAAGGGAGGAACTTTGAACTCTGTTCGAAATTCCTCTTCTCCAGCATGGAAGTGCCTGAACACATGAGGGAGAAACAAGGTCATCTCATACCGTGCCTTTATTTCAACAACTGGGTTTGTGTTCTGGCAAAGATCTTTTCATTCGCACAAAATGCCTGTGAGTGTGCACATCAAATAATTGTTTTTTATCTTCTGTGGTAGATCAGACAAAACCTGAAGAATTGCACTGAGACACTGAAGTTTTTTGATTTTATTTGAATTAGTCTCGCTAGGTTACTGAGTCCAGTTTGTGGGACAAAAAGGTAATTTTTTATTTTTTTAAATTACATCTACAACACAAAAGTGTGTATAAAGTGAAGTCTGAATACTTTCTGAAGCCATTGCATGTTGGTAGGTTACATCACGAGACAGCAATACTGACTAAAGTGGTCAACAAACTATATCTCAAATTGTAGTCCCTGTCCACTTGAAGGCGTCACATAATACCATTACAAAGGATATGTGCTTATATTCAGTTATAGGGCTGGGCAATTAATTGAAAATGTTTCGAACCTGACATTTATGACCTCTGACCGACCAGATTTCGCTCATGTCGGTTGAATCATCCTGCTGCATGTCCTCCCTGCCTGGCTGTGCATATTTTAGAATGCCAACGAGGAACCACTCTCTCTGCTGTACGTATTTCTTTGTACATTTGCTTTACTTTGGCATAAATATAAGTGAAAAATGTCATATCGCGTCCTGAGAAGCTTTTCAGGAATTTGCACCCACAACAGTGAAAACAAAAACCTCTTATATTTTGTAATGGACATCACAGTCAGTTTTTGGGGACACAATCCCAATTCAACTCTTTTAATAATTGGTGTGTGTTGTTACACTCTGATAAAAAATGTATAAAACAAGTTGATATCTGGCACATTGACATAACAGGTGAAGCTGACTAAATCCAGCACGCTTAATTTTTCCTGAGACACTTAATCCATGGAATGAAAGTTTAACTTGGAATTCTCAACCATGAAATTGATGTGACGCAATCAGTGAGAGACGAGACGTCTCACACTGCTGGAGCTGTTGGAGTCGCAGAGAGTGTTTTTCTATAGTCCACTCACAGCTGCACAGCAGTATTGGGTGAAATGTCTTCTCTCACACACAATCTTTCACTGAATACAGATACTGGCTTGCAGAGAGCACACAAAGCAGACACCAGTTTCACTTTGGCCTGCAGCAAGAGCTGATATAACCTGCTGCTGCTTGTCATTTTAACCTGGTACGCCTGCTAAAAATGAAAAGATGCCACCTGAATGCTTTGTGCATTGCTTTTTACTGAAGATAAAGAGAGTTCAAGTTGGAGCTTAGTACATATGTGTATTATATTGCTAACCTTGATGTGAGAATTCCTCTCACTAGTGCCCCAGATTAACTTTTTACAATGACACAGTCTAATTTTCATTTGCATATAAAACACAAGTTTCAATAGCATTATGAATCATAGGATTCCTTCAAGGATTTTCAACTCACACGTCATTTCTTCTCTCCCAGGCCATATGAATCCACAATGGAGTGAGGATGGGTGTCCCCAAACACACCGCAAGCTGAGAGGTGAGGGCAAAATAAAACACAACAAAGAGAGAGAGAGGGGAGGAAAGCAAAAAAACCCAAATGAGTAAACAGAGGGAGACATAATAACACAAACAAGGACAAGAGTTTTTCCACTTCACGGTTTTCAAACTAGAAGACCTTGAAATAGTTCCAGTACAACAATCTCCCCAGGCTGTTTTCATTCCTTCTGATCGCTCTGTCACTCAGAATCAACAAACAGTTTCCACTTTAGACACAAAATGTGTGACAGGCTACATCATTAAAACAAAGGGTTTTTTCATCCTTTTTAACATCACACTTTAAAATGGAAAACAGTCTTGACTGCATGTCACAATACCAGCAAGTTCCTACTGCATTTGTTTTGTTCTGCTGGAACCGAATATGCATTGCACAAAACTTTGATGAGAAAAAAAATGTGTGATGGGGTGAAAACAAGAAGGAAGATGCTTCAACAGGGTGTTCGAGAGGTAAAAGTAAAGTGAAGACGTGGGGGAGACGGAAACAAAATTAAATTGAACATCGTTTTCATGGATGATTGAAAGAGGTAAAACATCAATCATCTGTATCGAGAAATATAATGTCAGTCTAATCATCTATTTATCAATTTATCTCTGTGTATCCCTATAGAAAAGGCCAAGTATTCATCTTGGTTTAAATAGGATCCAACTGGGAATGAAATGACCACTTTCTGACATCAGATTTAGAAACTGGGATTCAAGCTAGTCTGAGAGCAACTAATAATTTCCTGCTCTTTCGGTTTGTTTAACTAGAAAAGAGAAACAGTGTAATACAATCAAGAGAGGAGGTGTAAAACAAAAAAACATCCAGATGGATGAAAAAAGGAAAAAGAATGGCTTTGTAATTGCATCTTTCTGAACATGACAAAGTGCTGCAGCGACATTGTTTGCTGGTAAAGTTTCAGGTTTAATTTTCATTTTGGCTCCTTCATTTCCATTTCACATTGATCTGTTTTAAACTTCTTGCACGCATTTCTGTGTCAGCACTATTCTGATCTTGATGGATTGTTAAGATTTTGGGCAGTGCTTCTATTATTCCTTATGTGCCAGACCACCACCAATGAGTGAATAAATACTGCAGTAACACTACACAAACATTTATCTTGGTATTTCCTCTTCTTTTCTGCCGATGTACTCAGTAAAAACTGCTTTGGTGTTTTATGTCTGTCAAATGTATTTAAATGATAGTAAGTACAACACCTCACATGCACAGATAAGTGAATAATGCTGACATCACAGACCTTACATTATTCTACTAATTCCATGTAGGAATGGGAATAAATATCAACTATTGATTATTTATAAATGATAGTTTGATTTACCATGCAGATGGTTGCTACAATGTTATAACTGCAATTACATTAAATAATGTAATGTATATTATAGGTTAATTTGTCTTTAAAATAATAATCTAATGTAATTTATTAGAGTGGTAAAGGTGACATTTTTTTTGACAATATTGCCCAGCTCCACTGAACAGTGATATATTCTGACAGATGAAGACAGAGTACAAAGAATACAAGATTAATGGGGAAAAAAAACCAAAAGAGAGAAGTTGACAGAGTAGACATACCCTGTATTTCTCCCCATGAGTGGAGTAGGCGATGAGATGAGTGACCTTGGTGCTGAAGTCTTTCCGGATGGTTCCTCCCATGTGATGAACCAGATTCACCAAGTTCTTCTACATGGACAAATAAAAATACCACATACAAGCTGAGCACAAAGTGGGAAAATAAATATCAATAGGGAATATGACAGCATGTAGGTTGTTTATACTGCTATTAATGAATTACTCAGGTGCCACAAGCTTTGCACAACCTGGATTTAGGAATTTTCAGCCATTCTCCTCTGCAGATTCTCTCAAGCTCTGTCAGTTTGAGGGGAACTTGTTTTGGAACTTGCTTGTAGTTTTGAGTTTTATTTTTTAAGAGGGTCTTTGTTGAGCTTGAGCCCTCTAGAAACATGAAACAGTATCATATCATGCTTGATTCATTACCTGTTTTCATGGAGCAACAGGAGCTATAACCAATATGAACAATTGCCTGGTTTGATAATGTAAAGTGAAATTTAACTTTTTCATTTTATCCCCTTTTAATGGAAGTTTAAACTTTTTTAATAGAAACCAGTGATGAATACAAAGTGTTTTAATGCAGACATGTTGCAGGGACCAATTCATTAATCATACTACTGTGAATGTATGCATCAGAAGGAGATGGGATGTGAATTTGTGGTACTGCTAGTGCCTGTGGTTTTGCTCTATTTTGTGCTTTAGTGTTTCACTTCTTTAGTTCTCCCCAGGCTTTCTTCCTGATCCATGTGGATAAAATGGCTCCCTCTTCAAAGGGTTTAACATTCAGTTATTGATGAAACTGTTTTGCAGAGCGGTCAACTTTATTGGCATTTTGATTAATGTAGTTGGCAGAGCTGTTGAGTTGTGTTGAGCTGTATCAAGTGGTGTTTCTAGGACTCAGCCCTTTTGATCTAAATTAGGTGGACAAAATATAAATCAATCAAAATTTATTTGTATAGCCCATATTCACAAATCATTATCTGCCTCATAGAGTTTAACAATCTGTACAAGGAGCAACATCCTCTGCCCTTACTCCTCGACTAGAGTGAAGGAAAACTACCAAAAAAGAGTCACCTCTCCCAGAACACATCAGAAATGCTTCTTACTATAACTATACTTTTCAGGACAATATTAATTATTGCATGACTGCTATATTTGATTGCATTAGTTTCTGATCTGTAAACCTAATGAACTGGCAATTTGGAATGTATATACATTAAATCTGCAATTACTGATTACTTTCCAATATATCAGCCATAGCTATTTATCTGTGTCATGAACACCTATATCCATTACACCCTCACAATAAAAAAGACTATGTGATGTTAAGAGCACAGATCTTTTAACAAGAATTAAGAACTAATAAAGTACCTCTGGTAATAAACTCACCATTTCCTCTTTGTTCCTGAAGCCGGTGAAACACAGTGACAGGTTAAGCATGGTGGTGGAGTAGAGAGGACGGCATGAAAACTGTAGAGGCTATGGAAAAAGATTTAAAATTACAACTTTACATGTTACTTTCTTTGGTATTATATTTTTACAATGTACAAAACTACGACAGAATAATAACAAGAATCTGGATGCTTATCCAATTCAATCTAAAATAGGGGAAGAAAAAGAAAATTGAACATAACATACAACACTTTTTTGTCAAATAAATGCTTGCCATGGTGAAAGATTGCAAAATGGCCCAACCCCCCTGACTTATGATGCTCTGCAATATGATCTAAACGCAGGTACAGTACAGTCTTCAGCTGACAAATGGGCAGAGTGCTATCATATTGATAGCAGACACAGTCAGGACACACTGCTTGTCTTCAACATTAGCGTGACAGCACAGCAGGGGGGGCAGCACCTGCTCATCAACCAGTTCAGAGTCATAAAGCCTTCTCTGCGTCTGCACCCTGCTTTCTAAAATTCAAACTTCCTGTCAGGCCTGTTTTTGGTGGGTCCTCCCCACACGACAAGCAGACAACATATTTTCCCGAACTGATTATTGCTGAGTAGAGCTGTACATTTTAAACTTGATGGTTAAAAAGGCTGAAGAACCATCATTCTGACCAAGGTGGGGAAAATGCTGCATTTACCATATTTGTATCAATTGAATTACTTCATAAATTTGGTGTAACTGGCTCGACAGATTTCATGCCCTTGATTCTTTGCTGCGAGTCAACAACTTACTTCTTCCTTCGCAGCACAGCGCAGCAAAACCGGAGGCCCAATAATGCGGTTGTCACGTTTATAGAGGTAGGTGTAGTCCGGACAATCAAAGTCTGTGAGGACAAACACTGTCTCAAAATCTGTGCCGTCTTCATCTCCAAACTCCTTGACATTGTCCGACGTTATGCACGGGGTGTTGATGTCCTGGAGAGGAAGAACAACAATATTTTTAAGCCCACAATCAATCTGCAAATGACAAGAGATACAGTACGCAAGTTTGCCTTGTTAGTAAGACTGTAGC